GTGGGCATGTCCTCAGGTCCTTTGCCTCATCTTCTAAGCAAGCCTGAGAAGTCTTCAATGGGCCCAGAGCTCGAATTCTCAGTTCTCCCAGGGGTTGGCTGGCCCTGGCGCGTCTTGTCGCATGGATTTTTCGGGTCCCAGACGGCCCCAACACGGGCCAAGAGGGCCTCAAGAGGCCTCCAAAACGCCCAAGATGACCCCAAGACGGCCCAACAGGCCTCCGAGACGCCCCAAGAGCCCTCCCAAGATGGCAAAATCATTGATTTCCCATTGGCTTTTTAATGCTTTGGGGGTGTTCAATTTTTTCGAGCTCCCGACGCTCCAAGACGGCCCAAGATGCCCCCTGGACCGCCCCAAGACGGCCCACGAGGCCCCAAGGAGGGCCACAGCATGACACAAGATGGCCCTAAGACGACCCCATTCCAAGACCGCCAAGATGGCCCAAAATGGCCTCCAAGATGGCCTCCAAGACGGATGCGACGGCTTCGTGATGCCCCACGACGGCCCAAGATTCAAGACGGCCTAAGATAGCCTCAAGATGGCCGAAGACGGCCCAATAGGCCTCCAAGAAGCCCCCAAGACGGCCGAAGAGGCCTCCAAGAGGTCCTCCAGGACGGCCCGACGAGGCCAAACTCATTGATCTTCCTTTTGTGTTTCAAGGATTTTGGCACTTGCTTCTGTTCGGTCCTCCGACGGCCCGAGACGGCCCACGAGCCTCCAAAGATCGCCCCAATATCGCCCAAGAGGCCTCCAAGATGCCCCGCAACTGCCCAAGAGGCTCCCCCAAAACTGCCCCAAGAGGGCCCCGAGACGGCCCGCGAGGCCCCCAGAACGCCCAAGCTGCCCCAAGTCGGCCCAGAGAGGCCCTCAAGACTGCTTCGGAGGGCGTCAGACGGGCCAGGAAGCCACCAAGACGGCCCAAGCTGGCTCCAAGATGGCCCAAAACAGCCCAAGAGGCCCCCAAGAGGTCTCCAAGACGGCCCAAGAGGCCTCCAAGAGGTCCCCCAGGAAGGCCCGAAGAGGCCAAACTCATTGATTTTCCCAATGTTTTAAACGATATTGGCATTTGCTTCCGTTCGGCCTTCCGACGGCCCGAGACGGCCCACGAGCCTCCAACGGTCGCCCAAAAGGCCCCCACGAAGGTACCAGAGCTGCCAAAGAGGCCCCCATAAGAAGGCCCCAAGACTGCCCAAACGGCCTCCAAGACGCCCGAGATGGCCTCTAAGACGGCCCTGGAGCGCCCCAAGAGGGCCCCAAGTCGGCCCAGAGAGGCCCTCAAGACGGCTTCCGACGGGCCAGGAGGCTATCAAGACGGCCGAAGATGGCTCGAAGATGGCCCAAGACGGCCCAAGCGGCCCCCAAGAGGTCTCCGAGACGGCCGAAGAGGCCCTCAAGAGGGCCTCCAGGAAGGCCCGAAGAGGCCCAAAACATTGATGTTCCTTAGGTTTTTGAAGGATTTTAGCATTTGCTTCTCTTCGGTCCTCCGACGGCCCGGGACGGCCCAAGCGCTCCCAGAGATCGCCCCAAGATCGCTCAAGAGGCCTCCAAGCTGCCCCAATAACGGCCCAATAGGCCCCCCCAAGACTGCCCTAAGAGGGCCCCAAGAATGCCCACGAGGCCTCCAGAACGCCCGAGCTGGCCTCCAAGACGGCCCTGGAGCACCCCTGGAGGGCCAAAAGTCGGCCAAGAGGCCCTCAAGACGGCTTCGGAGGGCGTCAGACGGGCCAGGAGGCCACCAAGACGGCCCAAGATGGCTCAAAGATGGCACCATAACGGCCCAAGAGGCCACCAAAATTGCCCCAAGAGGGCCCCAACACGGCCCAAGAGGCCTCGAAGACGCCAAGTATGGCCTCTAAGATGGCCCTGGAGCACCCCAAAAGGGCTCCAAGTCGGCCCAGAGAGGCCCCCCAAGACGGCTTCCGACGGACCAGGAATGCCCTAAGACGGCCCAAGAGCCCTCAGAGATCGCCAAGACCGCCAAGATGGCCCTAAGACGACCCATTCCAAGACCGCCAAGATGGCCCAAAATGGCCTCCAAGATGGCCTCCAAGACGGATGCGACGGCTTCGTGATGCCCCAAGACGGCCCAAGATTCAAGACGGCCTAAGATAGCCTCAAGATGGCCGAAGACGGCCAAAGAGGCCACCGAGAAGCCAGCGAAGCCCCCGAAGGCCCCCAAGAGGCCCAAGGAGGCCCCCAAATACTTCCAAAAGGCTTTCAGGAAGCCCCCAGGCGGTCCCAAGAATGTCCCTGGAGGCTCCCAAGATGCTCCCTCCTCTTCCTCTTTCTCCTCCTCCTCCTGATCTTCCCCGACATCCTCCCACGAATGTTCCCCGAAAGGTTTCTACAAGGGCTGGGGGAACACATGGCCCGAAAGCTTGGCGGAGCTCTTGCCACAACGCTCGGCCACATTGGCGATTCCAAAAGGAGGCAGGTGGCGGCGGTGATTCGACATAGTTGTTTTCGATAACGCCAGCGTCACAATATGCGCTGATGATTCCTATCCGCCTCCGCATGATGTTCCCAAATGCGCCAAGGCTGCACCGAGACGAACCGACGCAACTCTGACAGATCCCATTAAGATAGAGAGGGGACCGGCGGCAGGGGGCGAAACCCTTACAGATATTCTTGGCGTATCATCGGTGGACCCACTGAGGCCCCGAGCACGCTTGGCCATACAGCGCAGACCAGGACAATCCAGGACAATCCTCATCATCCCGTCTCGTCCTCCTCGTCCTACTCGTCCTCGTCCTCCTCCTTGTTCTCGTCCTCGACCTCGTCGTCGTCGTCCTCCTCCTCCTCCTCTTCTCCTGCTCCTCCTCCCCCTTCCCTCCCCCCACATCCTCCTCCTTCTCCTTCTTCTTCTCCTCGTCCTCCTCCTCTCCACCTCCTCCTCCTCCTCTCCTCCTCCTCCTCCTCCTCCTCCCCTCCTCCTCCTCCTCCTACCTCCGCCTCCTCCTCCTCCTCCTCCTCCTCCCCTCCTCCTCCTCCTCCTCCTCCCCTCCTCCTCCTCCTCCTCCTCCTCCTCCTCCTCCTCCGCCTCCTCCTCCTCCTCCTCCTCCTCCTCGTCCTCCTCCTCCTCCTCCTCTTCGTTCTCCTCCTCCTTCTCCTCATCCCTCCTTCTTCTTCTCCTCCTCTTCCTGCTCCATTCCTTCTCCTTATCGGTAACTTCTCCCTGTCGCACCCCGAGGCCAGTTTTTAGGGCGGGCCGGGCGGGGCGTTTCGCCTGAGACTTCCTCATGGTTTATGACCTGAAGCTGAACAAGTGGCAACAGTTTCACATATGGAGGGCGTGCCGTTTTCGAGCTGTGGCTCTCGCCTTCGCGTCGCGCACCTTCGGTTTCAAAATTTGCAAGAGCGGATTGAGGGCGGGTCGTTTTCAACATGTGGCTCTCGCTTTAGCGCCGCGCGCATTCTTTTTCAAACTTTGCAAGAGCTTCACGGATTGAGGGCGGGTCGTTTTCAAAATGTGACTCTCGCCTTAGCGCCGCGCGCATTCGTTTGAACAGTTTGCAAGAGCTTCACGGATTGAGGGCGGGTCGTTTCAAAATGTGGCTCTCGCCTTGGCGCCGCGCACATTCGTTTTCACAAGTTGCAGCAGTTTTACGGATTCCCATGGTCAGCGTACCAGCAATGCTGTTTTGGAAGGATTCAGGATTATGCGGCCGCAGCAGTTATGTTGATTCGCGGTGTTGAAATCCCAAACGTGACGTTCTGGCACGATTTTGGATCGTCAAGGCGCAGCAGTCAGGTTGATACGTGGCGTTGAAATACAGATAACAATGTTTTGGCACGGTTCAGAATCTTAAAAAGGTTGTCCTCCGACGAGGCAGCTCCCTCAATGGAAATGAACCGTTGCAGGGGCCTATGAAGAGGGAGCATGGAGGGAGGGTTGATTCCAACATCGTTGATGACTGTTGGGTTTACGCTGGTCCGTCTCCTCCTTCCCCTCCTCCTCCATGCCTTGTCCTCCTCTTCCTCCTCCTTTCTTTTCCTTATACATGACTTCTCCCTGTCGCACCCCGAGGCCAATCTTTAGGGCCAGTCGAGCGACTCGCCTGAAACTTCTTCACCATTAATAACCTGAAGCTTGTGGCAATCGTTTCACATATGGAGGGCGGGTTGCTTTCAAAATGTGGCTCTCGCCTCAGCGCCGCGTACATAAAGAAAAACATGCAACAGCTTCACGGATTGAAGGTGGTTGGTTTTCAAACTGTGGCTCTCGCCTCAGCACCGCATACATTCGTTTTAAACAATTGCAAGAGCTTCACGGATTGAGGGCGGCTCCTTTTCAACATGTGTCTCTCGCCTTAGCGCCGCGCGCACTCGTCTTAAACATTCGCAAGAGTTTCACGGATTGAGGGCGGGTGATTTTCAACATGTGGCTCTCGCATTAGCGCCGCGTACATTCGCTTTACACATTTGCACGGGCTTTATGTACTCAGGGCGGTTCCTTTTCGACATGTGGCTCTCGCCTTCACGCCGCGTACAATCGTTTATATAAGTTACAGGAGTTTCACGAGTTCCCATGATCAGCGTACTAGTAATGGTGTTTGGGAAAAACTCAGCATTCTGCGGGTGCAACAATTACGTCCGTTCGCGGAGTTGAAGTCCCAGGACTGGCGTTCTGGCACGATTCAGGCTCGCAACAGTCAGGTTGATCCGTGGCGTTGGAATCCCGAGAGCAATGTTGCGGCATGCTTCAGGATCTTCAAACGGCTGTCTTCCGACGAGGCAGTTCCATCAGTGGAGATGAACTTTTTATACGAGCCCATGGCGAGGGAGCTTGGAGGGAGGGTTGATTCCAACATCGTTGATGACTCTTGGGTTTGCACTGGTCCTCCTCCTCCTCCTCCTCCTCCGCCTCCTCCTCCGCCTCCTCCTCCTCCACCTCCTCCTCCTCCGCCTCCTCCTCCGCCTCCTCCTCCTCCTCCTCCTCCTCCTCCCGCGGCCGCCTTCGCGCCCCTCGCGGCGACCTTGGGGCCCCTCTCCTGCATGGCGGGCGGTGCAGCTCGCTTTTCCCGCGAGCGGCCGCGCCGGTGCCCGCACGGCGGCCGCGCGGCCCCAGCGGCCGGCGCCAGGTCGCGGGGGCAGCAGGAGCGAGGGGCCACGGGCCGCACAGGCAGCAGGCGGCAGGGAGGGTCCGAGCCACTCTGAGGGGCACGGGGGTTTGGGAGGGGGGAGGGGCGAGGAGGGGCAGGAGGAAGAGAGCGGGGATCACGGCGAAGACGAGTAGAAGGAGGCCGGGGGAGGAGGAGGAGAAGGAGGAGATGGACGAGGATGGAGGCGGAGACTGAAAGGGGGTGGGGGGGTAGAAAGATGAGGATAAGGAAGAGGGTGATCCCCCATGGACCCCTCCTCCTAGGAAACCGACTTCCTTCACACATAGTAGATGTAACTTCTTATATCGTGTCGTTTAAATGCTCAGCGGTAGCCGTAACTCCATAATCATATAATGGCATGTGTGATTGACTATTCCTGACAAGTCCAGGCCGATTGTCTGGTAGTCTCCCAAGCACACCTGCCACCCCCTTCCCCTCAGAGCCATTGTGTTTTGGAGCTGCATCGCTGAGGCGGAATCATTGTTCCACGCTCGATCGTCTGTGTCGTTTCGCTGGACTGTGGTAGCGCTGGGTGTTCCAGACATCCATCTCTTTTTGCCTGCGTCTTTTATACAGCATTCTAATTCCGGACAGGAAGGCGGAGGGAAGAAAGCACGCGAGATGGACTGCATCCTCACTCCTCGCCTTCCAATGCCTTCTTGGCATTTTTCAGGTGCTGCTCCGCCTAGGGCGCGGGGCGGGTTCGTTTTTTTCACGATGGATATGTTCAAGATGGGAAACAATCGGCACTGACGAATGAAGCATCACCATTCAGGAGCGAGCCGAACGCTTCAACAATCACACAACTGGTGCGGGGAGGATAACAATGGTGCAACGTCGATCCTCGTCTGCAGAGACGCCGCTTCCAAATCTGATCACATGTTCCCTGCCCCTCATGATTCGCTCACATCCTGCCCACCATTTGCAGCTCGACGGCGGCCCGACGGGGGCCATGCAGAGGCCCGTCCAGGAAAGAGGCACGAACCCCTTGCATGGCCTGACGCGGCCGAGGCCGCTCTTCATTCTGCGGTCAGGAACTTTTGGACAGTGTGCCGCGGCGGCGGCCCCGACGAAACGCTATTCCTTGCAAGCGGGTAACGTGTCGTTCCGCTTCGCAGGACGGGAAGCTGGGGAGCGCTCGGGACGTTGACGCCCGGACGAGGATGTGGACAGCGTGTCGCGCCGAAGTGCGGTGGGCCAGAAGCGGCGTAGCGACACGCTGAGCCAAAGTTCTCGACCGCATTCCTCCTCCTCCCGCCTTCTCCTGCGGCAGCGTCCCATCCTGCCCTGCTTCGCGGCTCGACGCCTGTCCTCCACCTGGGAGTCGGGGGCGTCCAAGAGGGGGGGGCGCTAATCATGGCCGGCGGCATGTGCGCGGCCCAGGGGAGGGGGGGGGTGCTGGGGACGTATTGACATGAGCAAGGGAACCATGAAATCTTGGGAGGCATCATGGCCCCCGCCATGATGATCCCCCCCCCCCCCAGTCATCACCCCGCTCTTGGCCGCCCCACGGAGAGCCGCAAGACGGCCCAGGATGGCCTGAGGAGGGCCCCAAGACGCCCTCAATACGGCCCCACTGTGCCCCAGCACGTGCCGTGACGACTTGCGTGCCGGTTTCATGCACCACGTGAATCGCTCAGCCTTGATCGAGCGCGTCATTCTGACAGCGCGGCCCAGGAGGCCACCGCGCCGCAGGCACTGCGGCGGCACGGGCGCAGCGCTCAGCGCTCCCGAGCGGGCTCGGCGCCATCCCGAGCGGGCTCGGCCCCGGCGCCGGGCCGCTGCCGACGCGGTCGTGCGGCGCGAGCGTGCCGCACGCCCACGCCGGCAGGGCGAGGCCGAGGCCGCCGGGGCGGGGGGGGGGGGGTGAGGCGTGGAGCCGGTCAGGCGCCGCGGGCCGCCCGCGGCTCCCCCCCCTGCCCGCGCAGGCGCCGCCGCCGTGCTGGCCACTGGCGCCTCTGCTCCGCCCGCGCTCCGCGATCTCCGAGCGAGGCAGGTGCGGGTGCGGCGGGCGGCCACCTTCGTGACACCAGCGCCCGGCTGACCAGGCTCCCCAACTTCGCGCCCTCGCGCCCCGCCGCGCGCGGCCATCTCCGCGCCCTCGCGGGGCCGCCCTGGAGGAGGGCAGTTCCCAGGCACGAGCCGGGACGCGCGGGGAGCGAGTAGCTCTGGGCCCGCGGGGTTGACCTAGGGCTGGCGAGAGGCCGTTGCAGAAGCAGGGCCGCATTGCGGTCGGCCCTGGCTGTGGGTGGCCCGCCTTGAGAGAGGTTGCCCGCGCGCTTCAGATCGATGATGCTCAGAACGTGAGCTGGCGCCATCGTGTGCTCGTCCACTGCAGCCCTTCAATACGACACAGGCGGTGTACTGGGGGCCGCAAAGGGCTGCGCGCTATCGGTGGAGCTGGGCGGGGGGCTGACACATGTCCTGAGGATCATCATCGACTAGACCTCGGACGACGCCACCGCACTGAAACTGGCCTCACCAGTCGCGTAAGATTTGCTGACGCGGCCTCTGTGCCAACGCCTTCGCGATGTTCCCGCCCTGGTTCCAGACGCTGGCCCGTGGGTGGCACCCACTCGCCAGTCGAGTCTCCACACTAAAATGCCGCGGTCCTTTCGCCGCTTATGGCGCACGTGCAGCACACATGCAAACCGTGTAAATTAGGCGCACGCTTCTCGACTCCCGATCTCTGCATATCTGCGCGGCTTTGAGCTTTCCCTTCGCGGCTCATGGCTTCCTCGGAGACGCGGGGGAGGTTGTCCCCGACCGCCAGGAGCCCAGAGCCAGAGACTCCAAGCCGCGTCTTCGAGTGCAAGGGTTGGGCCTGGATCGGATTCGTGGCATCGGCGACCCCCTCCATTTTTCCGGGCGTCAGAACGATGCGCGCGACTCCACTCTGCCAGCCACGGTGTCCAGGGCACGTGCGGTGTCTTCTCGTCCCCGTCTCCGTCGCTCGGTGGGGGAGGCGGCGGCTGCCCTCCAGGCAGAACTGCATCGGCCTCTGGGTGCCCTTGAAGCTGCCTCAGACGCGCGACTGCCGGCTGGAGCGTGTGGCCACCGCAGCGCGCGCCACGCGTGCTTTGGCCCCACTCTTGTCTTGTTGCGTCTCGTCCTGCCTTGCGTGTGCTGTCTCGTCGTGTGGTGTTTTGGTTGCGAGCAATGGGGCTTACCACCTGCATCCGTTGCATTATTTCCTCTATGTTCCTTTGCCATCTGGGCTGTGGACCCACGGCTTCCACGCGCACAGGACGGCGCGGGTGCCTGCCCGTATGAACGCCAACACCTGGCTATTCGGCGGCGGCAACTCCCCAACTCCTGTAATTACATGGGCGACCAGCTCGGGGAGCGTCCGAAAGTATAGTGTCATGCTGCTGCCTCCTGTCCTTGGAGTTTGGGGTGGTGGCGCAGGGCTTGAGCCTCCACAGGCAAAGCAGATCCCCACCCAACGGCCCCGAAACGACACGACCCCCACAGCTTCAGAAACTCTTTCCTCCTCGCACTCGTCCCCGTCCTCGTCGTCCCCTCTGCTTCCTCCCCTCCTGGGTAGGGCCAGGCGGCCTTCTACTCACAGGTTGGATGGTGGCGCAACTTGCGCACCGCATCCTCGAGCTCTCGCGCTCGCAGCGCCGAAACTCGCCCCCGGCGGCTTGGGCTATCGGCCCCAAGTCCCCCAGACAGGTGGTGGAGCAACGCTCGCTGTGCGCGCGTGCGCACGCTGTCCATGCCGTGGCTGATCATGTCTGGCCCTGCCTTGTGCTGGCCTGCGGGCAGTGCTCCAGCTCTGAGCCGAGCCCCTCCCCTCGAAGGCCTGCCTCCCCCGGTCGGTGTCCTCGCGCGCGGGTGAACTCTTCTGCCGATTGATGCTGCGTGGCACGGCCCTGCCGTGCTCGCTGGCGACGTCACGTGATTCAGTCAAGGATGAGAACCTCCTGACAGCCAACTCGGTTTGACCGCTCCGCGGATCGCGAGCGGATCTTTCCGAACCGATTCGCCTGCCGAGTATACGCGCACGCAAATTTGAAAGGGGGGATCACCGCATGTACGCTGTACTCCTCTCTTATCATGCCCGGTTCCTTGCGGTCCTTCTCCACCTCAGTGTCCTCCTGCTCGGGGTCACCGCCCCCAGAAGCAACCCCGCAGTCCAAATTGATCCTCGGCCCGACTCCGATGCTGATCCCGCTGGCCCGGTTCGCCCCAAACTGAGGAGCTCATCGCCGACCCAAAATCCCGCCCACCGCCGGATCGAACAAGCCCCACCGCCCCGAGGTCACCAGAAACGGCCCCATGACCGGGGAAATCAACAAGTACCAATACCGCTACCCCTCAGACCTCTCCTGGGGTGCGTTCTGACCAGGATTTCGAAGCGAATCCAGCGGTGGCGGCGACGGAGGCCTCCTCTCCTCCTCTGACCCTTGACCCGGGCCGGCCCGCTGCTACTGCAGCATCGGGGCGAATCGCGCCGTCAGCGCACCCGCGCCCTGACGCCTGCCCGGCAAGTGAAAGCGCCAAGGCATGGGGGCCTCCACGGCGGCCTCGTTGTACGTCTGCTGGACGTGCTCCTGGCGCACGCGCTCGCCACGCCCGGTGCGCCCCCTCACCCCCTGAGCTCCCTTCCTTATTGCACGCAGTAGCTCCAAAGCTACAGGCCTCGGAAGAAATTAGAGAACACTCATGCCGCATTCATTTGTCGATGCCCCCCTCCAATGATCAACGTTGGCGGTGGGTTGGACGAGCTGCTCTTCGACCGCAGCCTGCCGCGCGCGTGCCAATTTTGAGTCCGGGAGGGCGGGGGAGTGTCCACTAATTATTTCCCTCTACCGTATCATCTCTACCGCGCGCGCCTGTTTATGAATTTCTGGAGATCTACATGCGGCCACCCTTGGCTCTGCACCAGAGGGCTGGGCCACCCCTGGCAATTAGGCTGACAGGTGAGAATGGAGGAAGGGAGGGACTGGGTGTAAGGAGGAAGTGGTGGGAAGGAATCGTGGAGGGAGGAGGCAAAACGACAAGATATCTAATGGGGCATGCCAATCTCTACTCCACTACATCGCGTCTACGAAAGGTTTCGCGAATCCCACCAGCCCTCTGGGCGTAGGTGGTCTAGGGAGTTTCCTTCTTGCCCTTCGGGGAAGGGTTCCCCCCTCACCCCTACCCCCTCCCCTGGACCTGGACGGGGCGCCCCGCGGGTTGTCAGAGGGTATTTTTTCGCCCAATATGAGCTCCAAGATGGCTCAAGATAGCGCACGATGCCTCAAGATGGCTCCCAAGATGCTCCAAGATGCCCCAAGAACGTTCCAAGAGGCGTCCGAGACCTCCAAGGAGGCCCCCAATAAGCCAAAATCCTTCAACAACCTGATGAAAATAACAGATTTTTGCTTTCTTGCCTTTCAGCTTCCGAGGGCCATCCGAAGCCTCGAGATGGCTCCAAGATGGCCCAGTAAAGCCCCAGGAGGGGCCCACGAGAGCCCTAAGACGGCCCCCGGAGCGCCCCAAGAGCGCAGGAAGCGATTTTCGGTGCTCCCGAGGGGGGAGGCTACTTGGAACTTTCCTCTTTTTTTTCGATTTCTTTCAAAATGGCCCCACCAGCGCCCGTGAAGCTCCCAAAAGCGCCCCAAGAGGGCGCCAAGAAGCGCCCAGACGGCCCCAAAAGGCATCCAAGAGGCTCCCAAAAGATTCCATACGAGGCCTCAAGAAAATTCCCGAGATAACCAACTCTCCCTCCTTCTCCTCCGTCTCCTCCTCCTCGTCCTCGCCCTACTCCACCTTCTCCTCCTCCTCCTCCTCCTCTTCTTCTTCTTCTTCTTCGTCCTCCTCCGACAACGACGACGATTCCTCCTCCATCCTCCCCCTCGTGCGGTTTATGACAGTTTCCCCTGTTTTTTTGTTCATCTGCATGCCCCCCCACCTCCCTGATCACCTCAACTCCCCTGGGCATCGCTTCTGGATGGGCTGGTGGGGGTACTTTTTTAGTCAACGGCCGCGGGCGAGCGCGCCGGCGGCGAGTCCAGTCAAAGCGGGGCACGCAGCGACGAATTAACCTAAAGCGATGGAGGATGGCCACACCTACAGCGGCTAACCGAGCCCTCACGCAGCAGCTCAGCGGCGGACCGGCGAGTGGGGGGGCAGCTGAAACTGAGTCGTACTGCCAGCGTGCAAATATAGAAAGCGTCGGGGCACCAGGGAGTCGGGACACACGACGACCCGGGCCAGAAACCGAAATTAATGCAAGGACGCAACCCCGGACAACTGCGTGAGTACAAGGGTGGCCCGAAGGACCGTCGGTCCAAAAGCTAGGAGGCGAGAGCGTTGGCGGGCTGCGAAATCCCAGGGTGGCCGTAGCCGCGTAGTCCCGAAGCAGCAGAACGCAAGTGTGCGGGAAGCAGCAAAGCTGCCACGCAGCCAAAATGGCGCGGGTCACCACGGACCAGTGCGTGAAGTGGCGCCAGATGGGGATATTTTTTGGGTCAGCGGCCACGAAGACAGCGGTCATGTGGCGATGGCAACGTCCGGGCCACGGGCGAGGCTAATTTGCAAAAACAGATCGCGGCCGGCCAGAGCTGGCTGACGTACTGCTAGCACGGGCACGTGCACAGGACAAAATGACCAAATTCGAGTGGCCAACGCATGACAGGCGCAAGCACCTTACCACAGTGGGCAGGTCTCTGTGCTCAGTGAAAATGAGAAGGCCAATGAAGTGAGTCGCCATAGTGGCGCCAGACTTCAAACGAGCGACTGGCGTAAGCCAGCCAGCTGAGCAGTCGAGAAAGTATGCCGCGCACAGTTGGGCTGAAGGTGGGTCCGAGAAGCTGTGCATGCTGCTGAAGGCTAAACCACTCAGTGCCCAGGCCAGTCTCAGTGGACCGCATCACAGTGTCGGGGGGGGTAGCCGTGCGACTATGTGCCCTTCAGCGCGCGCCACTGGGTGTGAGAAGCCCGCGGGCGTGGTGAGCATCGCCGACGGAGAAGAAGAGGAAGAGGAGGCTGCACGCGTGGTGGTGGTGCCGACTGCGTTGTCGTCGGGCGAAGCGCCAGAGGGAGCTGCACTGCGGTAGACGCTGAGGGCAGAGACAGAGCCAGCCCAGACCGCCGCATGGTACCTTCCCCCAGGCCTGTGAGCCGACACACGCCACGTGATCCTCCAGGGCCGAAGCAACCGCCGCTGTGGGTGAGGAGCCAGACCACGAGCAGCGTGGAACACGGCAGGCCCTGGGAGGGGGGAGCGACCACACCGACGTCGGACGGGGCGTCAGGCGGGCTCCGGGGCCAAGGGCGGGGGACACCCACCTGGCCCGAGAGGGGAGAGGCGAGGGGCCGCAACGCCTCTCCCCTCGGACAGGCCCCAACACCGTGGGCCAGGGGCCATTGCCATCCGTTTGGGACATCCTGGGGGTCGCAGGATCGCCGCTAGATCTCACTTTAAACTCCTCGGGGGTCGCAGCTGATCGCCGCTATGAACATTATTCTTGGTCGGTGTGTCCGAGTGTAGGCCCTCCAGGGCTGCAACCAATCGCATCAGAAGTGAATATGCAGATAGGTGCGTCCTTGAAAGTTGGTCCTCGGGGGTCGCAGCTGATAGCCGCTAGAGTCGATCTTGTCAATACTGTGGCCTGCCCAGGCCGTTCCGCTGGCGCGTGGGGGGGGGGGTTTCCGTGGCCGTCCCCCCGCCACTGGCGGATGTATGGCTGTCGTCGTCGGACAGCAGAGTGGGTGCTCCCGGGACCTGTCTGTCCTGCGGGCGGCTCCCCTGTCGATCAGGGGGGTGAAATGTCAGGGGTAGGTCCACTTATCCAGTGTGGGCAGTCTAGCTATGCTGCGCCGTGGGTGAGATGTGGGGTAACCTTCGCCCCGGCGCAAGTTGCCCCTAGGTGTTGCGGTCTGAGCCGGGCGTAGCGAGGTGAAACTGGCCCCTTAGGGGCAAGAGCAGGGGGTGGGAGGGGCGGAGCTCGTTGACCAGGAGCGCCAGGGGTGCTGAGGCGGGTCTGTCCGGCACCGTTAGCCCTGGGTGTACGAGTCATCCCTTGTCCACCATCGGGCGCGCTTGTCCGTGTACTGGTCGTCCCCCCTGGGGGAGTAACGCTTACCCTTTCCTTTCCAATCCGTGCCCGTCCATGGGGCTTCATGCCGGTCCCAAGAGCTCCACTCCTGCCAGTCCTGCCACTGGCTGGGGGTGGCTGTGCCGACGGCACCGGCCCAGCGGTCCGGTGCGGCTGCAGCGGTGGCCGCTCTGCCCTCTGCTGTCCATGGGGCGGGCCTGCTGCCGTTGTCGTGGTCGCGTTGGGCGTGCGCACGGGAATCGCGGCTCATGACTTTCATGTGCTTGTCCCTGACAGCTGCCCAGTTGACGTTGAGTCCCAGCTCGCTGTCCATTTTGTAGGCGTCGTGCCCTGCGCCACTCCATGCTTCGAGGAATTCAATGCACGACTGGACTGTGTTCAATTTGGGGTTGTGCTTCTGGCTTCCGCTGAGCTCCTGCCTCAGGGCAGCCCTCTTGACCCATGCGGCCCATACTCCATCGAACGCTCCTCCCAGCGTCTTTTGCAGGCGTATAATCTTATCCTGCACTGGTTCCTTTCTTTCCACGTCTGCATCTGCTACGGTGCACATGTACATGGGGATGCCTCCCATGGGGTCGTTTGGGTCTTCGCGGGGCGGCTGTACGATCCTTACGTCTCTCCAGGGCGCTTCGTGTATCTCCACTCGCGAGGGGTTGCCCCTTGGCGATTTGGCGGCACGTCCTTCCGACGCTGGCCGGTGGCGGCCCTTGTCCCCAGCCGTGCGGCTGAGGGTGCGGTCGTCCCTGGTACACATGATGTCCCAGGTTGAACTGCTTGCTCTCTTTGTGCTGTCTCTCGCCCTCCTGACTTCCCGGATGGCAGCTCGATCGGCAGTCCGTTCGTACGGGGTCCAGGCATCGGGCCTGGTGGGCGGATTCTTAAAGACGTTGAGGGGGTCGGAGGAATCCTCCTCCTCTCCTTCGTCTGCAACTGGTGTTGGGCTAACCGCCGGGCTCGTGTCTTTGGCTGTGTCTGACTCAGATGGGGAAACGCGAAGCGTCAACAATTTGGCTCAGTCACCTTCGTGGCGGTGACGGTGGAATTTCTGGGTGCCCCTGGTTTGGACCCCCGTCTGGAAAACGGGTCCGTGTTTCGCATGCCCCCATTCTCCATTGCCCGAGTGACATCGGTGTCGTGTTTCCCCCGCCTCCTATCTCGATGCTGCCAGTGGGGAAGTCTCGGACATGCGAAACGATGTTGATGACGACGGCAATGGCTGCGCTGTTGCGCCCTCTTCCCATGGTGGATCGGGATCTCCGCTGAAAAATATCAAGGAAGAAAGTCGCTCCTCGAGCACATCGTCGCCCGGGGGAATTCTGTTCCACGTGTCTCGCGCCTCTGACTTCCTCATCGGCCGAAGGGAGGTCCAGGTCGACCTAAACAAGCTATCCGAATGAAGAGCAATTTATGGACGACCCTGGAACACGGTTCTGCGGTCCGACCCGAAGGTTTTCAGGGGGGCCGAAACTGCTCAGACGCCCCCCGTGCATGGATGTACATCGTCTGGTGGCGGTTTC